TGATGTTAGGTTTCTACAAATGAGGAATTTGTTCCTTCTAAATTATTTCTTTGTTTTTCCTTTGTGCGACTGAATTGTGGGTCAAGATTAGTAGGTTTTTTCTACGTTAGTTGCTAGTTGTTAGGAACACTAATGAAAAGGATTTGAAAACTTTGAGTTTTAATGATAAAGACAAAATAAAGGGTAAAGTGAATAGTACCAGGATTGACTTTTTAGTGTAAAAATGTGGTTTTTCGTTAAAGTAAACAGTACCGGGAGCTTTTCGTTAAAGTTCTCTAGTTGTTTGTGACAGATTCTTTTAATCGAGAATAACTTATATAGAATGGATTCACCTTCTTGTGTTTAATAATACATTGTTAAGTGTAAGTTTCTCTATGCATCATGATGTATTACTAGATTAAAACACTACGTGACGGTGAATTTGTTTCATATAAGTTCAAAAACGAAAAAACGGTTGTGCCATGTTATCATGCTGATAATGAAAGAATTGGCATTAATCCGTCATAAAGTTGCACCCCTTAATCATTTTTGGATACTTGATAAAAGATATTCAATCACTGTCCACATTGATGATGTAAATAAAAAACAATCTTGCAAATATGAAATATCAAATGCACCACCATCTTTTGTCCTAAATCCTCTTTTTACGTTATGGTAGAGGCTCCAGCAGGTGCCAGATTGTACTCCATATAATGCCACTTTACAATATCAACACACGTGGATAATGTGACCTGTCATATATGGTTCGTCCTTTAACCAATCCACAGAACATAACAATGGATCCGTTTAGTAGGCTGAATAAGATTGAACTTTAGGGATAAAATTAAATTGGTAGGGACTTGTAAGATAATACTTGAAGTTCATGTATAAGGATAGTTAGATAACTCTCTTTACTGTGGATTCATAACTCATCATATTCAGTCTTGTTCATCTCACATTTTGACACAACAAACAATAGGACTAGACCTAAACTCAAGTACATTTTATTTGGTCACAACATATCACAACCAACTCGACAAACATGCAATTAACTAGCAGACCTATGTTTAAATGTAATCCAACTTGAGTAGGAGTCCAATGAATATCGTACTTACTCAAAAGAAAAAAAAGTAGAAGTTCAAGTTCAGCTTTGCGCATGATGCTCTATCTTTCTTAAAGTTAAAGACAAATGCGTTAAAAACATTTTACTTCTAATCAATTTTCTTCAACTTTGATCTCATTTAATAACATTATTAATTGGTTTCGGTTGTCATTTAGAGCTTAGGGTTTCAGTCTCGAATTAGTAAACATTTTGATTTCCCAAATGACGATTTTCTCCCAAATTTTGGTCGAGTGAAGTTTTATCAATGTATCACCTGTCTTTCGAATGTCATGTTCAGAGAATCTCTTAAACGTAATCATTCTGCCTAAATTGCTTCTACATAACCATCATGTGACCATATCACGCTATTAGTGTTATACAAAACAACAAAATATACACTCGGGTGCATGTAAGTCTCTCTCATATGTCTGTGCAACTTGCTTAGGGAGAAGTGGGACCCTCAAAAGGCATAGACACAGAAAGCAAAGTGGAGGAAAGATAGAGGCAGAGGGGACGGAGCATCCTAGAAAATATGCTTTTTTTTTCTTCTCAAGATGGTCGACGATAACCATAAATCATGTAGTGTTTAGCCCTCTTAATGTTGAGAAAGTGGGGATGGCCTCAATGAATAGTGATTTGATGTGGATTAGGCAACAAAACAGTAATCATGGATGGTCCTTAAACAACAAAACAACATGGAATGGAGGCCACCCGATTTAGCTTTTGTTTCTTCATCGAATTTAGGCAGGTATTTATTTCCTCTCCTCTCTAATTAAATGCATGGCTTCCCACAACTACTTGCTCATCATTCTATTTCTGCATTTATTTTGTTTTGCATTTTTAGTTTCTCTCTACGCTTAAAACTGCTCGAAACATCATATCAAACGTAAAAGACATTAAAGGAAAATTATGTGACTATGCAAGAAAACTTATTAACAGTTGTGATATCACGATGGCATCTCTCGTATAAATTACGAATTTTCATTTGTTTTGACTATTTCACTCGAATACGTTATTAGCTTGGAATACAACCACGAGAAGTGGTCCTTATTCCTTAATCATGTTTCACATGCATGTATGTGTGGTCTCAACATTTGGTCTCTTTAACAAAAAAATCCAAACACATACATAGAGTGTTGGAGAAGGGATTATAAAAGGAGGAAAAAGGAAAGGGTGATAGAGCTAGTTCCTCGGACAAGGGAGAGAGATCAATTGAAAAATAGCAGTTACTGGAATTTATACCAGTGAAATGCAGTAAGTTCTAAATTAGGTTTAAAAGTGGAAGTAAAGTCCAAGTTTAGATAAGATGCAATTCTGGGAGAAAAGCAATGTAAGTCTTAGGGCTGGTTTGGTATTGCTGTGCTTTGAAAAAAAGCTGCTGTGAGAATAAGCGGCTGTGCTGTGAGAATAAGCGGCTGTGAAATAAAGCCAGTAGAGTGTTTGGTAAACTTTTTTGTGAAAGTGCTTTTGGAAAAAAAAGTAGGATGATAGTGTGTCTTTTCATTAAAGGAGCACTGTAGCTCCGTGTGCTTTGAAAAAACTGGCTTTTTTTCAAAGCAGCAAATAGCAGCTTCAGCTTTTCCTTTGATTTTCAACTTATTCTCACAGCAGCTTCCAAAATAAGCCATTTTTTTTCAGTTTACCAAACACAAAAATGACCCTCAGCTTTTTTTCACAGTGGCTTTTTTTAAAATCACCTCAATCTCAAACGGGGCCTTAGTCTTGTAAGATACCTCCCTCTTCCTTTTCAAGTATGCCCTGGCTGTGTAAATTAAGGTTTTGATAATTTAATTAACAAAAAATAGCATATTAACTTTGTTAATTAATCATGTAACATCCTGCAGATTATATAAAAAGTTGGCTGCAGCTGACTTGTTTGTTTTAAAAGTAGAAGTCTTTTATGCTTAACTCCTTTGTATCATTAACAATGATTTCGTTATATGTTATCTTAAAAAGTAATCCTAGGAAGATCATCTATTTAAACTATATTTTGTAAACTATATGACGTAATTGTTAATAATAGATTATTATTTAAGTGTTGATTAACGTTCTTAATTTTTATTCGTAACACATCATATGATTTGCAAATATGGTCTAAAAAGCTGGTCTGACTAACATTACTGTTTAAGAATAATGATTGATAATCACGTCACTAGACAATAGATACAGGTGCGGGTACAATCGAGGAATAGTTAAGATTCTAATAAGAAAGGGAGTTGGTTTGCTTTAATATCATTGCATTAAAAAGGTAAGATTTAGAATTACTTAAGATTGACATAAAGAAAAGAGAAAGATTAACTTAAAGAAAGTGGAGTTACTAAGCATGAAGGAAGGTGATTCTCCTTTTCACTTTTGTATGATTCAAAGTTAGCTAAGCCACCCAATAATCATACTAGAAAACCAATTACTACATATTGGTAACCTTCTTCTTCAAAATTTAATTATATTTAACCGAGCAAACGGTGAATCATTCTAGTGGATAAAAAAAAATTTATTTCAATTCACTATATTTTGAGTTAAAAACTCCCGGATTAAACTCTACCTTTATCATTAGTTTAATTTAGAGTAGTAATATCAATTCTAATATAATATATATATAATTATTATTATCACTTAAAAAATCTTATTCTACACTCCCCACATGTGTAATTTTCTTACTAATTATAGAAAATTTGAAATGCAAAATGAAATTTTCGAAATACCAATAATTATATATATATATATATTTTTTTTCTTACTAATTATAGCAAGCGTAGGTAACACCCACCTAGAAACCAATAAAACTTTAATGAGTGGCAAAGTTTTGGGAAATTAATTCGTTTTATCAAAGAAAGGAGAAAAGAAGATGTCAAATTAAATCAAATCATTAATTTTCTTATCATCATAAATTATTTTCTCACATTAACATTAGCCATAAATAATACGAAAATTCATCACCGAATTTATAGATTTGACAAAATTTTTTTTTTTTTGAAAATAACGATGTCTTCATTTAATTAATGGGAAGTGTTATTGGCACTCCAAATATCTCATTCTACACTCCTCATAAATGTATTTTTATTTTTAAATATAGAAAATTTAGAGTGTAAAATGAGAATTTTGGAATGTCAACAACAATTTCCTAATTAACTACTAGATATATTATTATTTTGTAATTGACAAGAAAATTAATAGAATCCAGAATTCTAATGGGTTGGTCAACTAAACACCTAATTTTTAAAACCGGTGTTGAAAGAAAGGAATAGCATAACGTCTCTTCGAAGATTCATATTCCTTCTCCACATTCGTATCTCTCTTTTGTTCTTGGTGACACAAATTACACACAATCTCATGGCATGCGATCTTAGGTATGGTTTGGTACTGAGGTGATTCTGAAATAAATAGGTATAAAAAAAAGCTGGAAGTTTTTTTGTGTTTGGTAAACATTCAGCTTCAGTTTTTTTTCACAGTTTTTTATGAAAAAAAACAAAAAACAAAAAGCTGCAAAACGCAGCTTTGAAAAACCAGTTTTTTTAACAAGAGTACGTAAAAGATAAAGAGAAGTACATAAATAATATTATTATTAAATTAATATAAATATGTGACACTGTTGCTCTAACAACTTCTCGGTCAAGTCCTAACCTACTATTTTACAGTTCGGATTAACGATTAAAAAAGATCCCGTTGCCTAAAACTAGCGTGCGCCCTAAAGAACATTAAATAAAAAGGGATGTCCACGTATCATATTTTAATTCTCACACATCTTTTGATAATTTTTGTAGATTGATCATTTTCAATTCATCCAATTTAAATGTCAAAAATTTTAAAAATATGTGAAAAGTAAAATAAGGTGTGTGGATATCACAACATAATAAAAAAATGAAGAAAAAAACAAAATAGAAAAATATTTATTTAAAAGGGAATTGAAATTGAGCCACAACCCAAACACGGGTGCGCCTGCTGCCTAGTACGACAGTTATGCTCCCAAATATCGCCTAATCAACTTCTTCTCTCGCCGATTTAATCGTAACGGTCATATATCATCGTGTAATCTTCCATATTACAAATTATCCGATCACTCCCCAAAAAAGCACTTTTGTAGAAAGCCGCCCCTCCCCATAACCTCCCTCTCACTGTCCCCTCTCTCACTCTTTGTTTTCCTAATTTATTTGTCATTTTTTGCGATTTTTTAATATTTTATCTGAGAGCTGTTGGACTCGCAGGGATAGTCGGAGGTTTTGCTTTTAGGTCGCTGGAATTTCGTTAACTGCGAGGGGTTAGGGTTTTTGGAGGATGAGATTTGAATGGGATTTTGAGTTTCTGAGATGGTACCTGCTGTGTCGACGACATTGAACCCCAAAGCCGCGTCCCAAGGAGGAGGTCGTCCTCAAAACGGCACCGTAAGGCCGCCTCTTCTGCCTTCTGAATCCGACAATGGCGTCGCTGTTCCTCGCCGCCTCAAAGCTCGGGAGGTCACTTCTCGGTACATGTCCTCCTCCTCCTCTTCTTCTTCCTCAACTTGTTCAAATTCAAGGCGGTGTCCGTCGCCGTTGCCGTCCAGAACTGGCTGCTCGACGGCGGCGACGCCGTTGTCGCAGTCTGTGAAGCGCTCGCAATCGGTGGAGAGGAGGAGAGTTGTCACTCCTCGCCCTAATTCTTTGGATTTGAGGATCGGGAATGGTGGTGCTAGCGGCGGCGGCATGTCCGCGGCTCAAAAGCTACTGTTCACTTCGACGAGGAGCTTATCGGTGTCGTTTCAGGGCGAGTCCTACTCCCTCCAGGTTAGTAAAGCGAAGCCGGCGCCGTCTCCGAATATAAGGAAAGGCACGCCGGAGAGGAGGAAGGTCACGACGCCGTTTAGAGCGGATCAGAGTGAGAATTCAAAGCCGACAGAGCAGCAGCTGTGGCCTGCGAGGTTGCGGCAACCAAATAGTATGAGTAGGAGCCTGGATTGCACGGATGAGAGGAAGAGGGTGAGTGGATCTGGGGCCAATGTGGTTAGGGCATTACAAAACTCGATGGTGGATGATGTTGATGGGAGATTGAGGTCGAATTCTTGCAATTTAGGTTCAGTGAAAGCTACTGAGCCAGTTGATGACGGCAATTCAGCTACTACACAATCTGAGCCTGTGGCTTGTTCCGATTCTGATAGTGTGTCTTCCGACAGTACTAATTCAGGACTACACGAGCTTGGTAATGTCGGTGGTGGTGGCACAAATGGCTACGGCGGTGTTGGACAAGGGCCACGGCCTAGAGGGATGGTGGTCCCTGCGAGGTTTTGGCAAGAGACTAACAATAGATTGCGCCGCCAATCAGAGTCTAATAAGGGTAATGCAACAAAAAATATGGGTTCTCCTAAACAGATTGAGAGCAGCAGGTTATCTATGGATAGTCCAGTGTCATCTCCTCGAGGTGTTGTGAATAGCAGGGGGCAGTTATCCCCCATTCGTGGAGCTGCTCGACCTGCTTCACCAAGTAAGCTCAGCAGGTCGTTGGTGCCATCTTCACCTATGAGGGGAGTGAGCCCTTCCCGGGTGAGGAATGGAGTGGTAGTTACTCCAAGTAGTAGTTTGAGCAACATGCCTTCAGTTTTAAGTTTTGCTGCTGATGTTCGAAGAGGCAAGGTTGGAGAGAACCGGATAGTTGATGCACATGTGGTGAGGCTATTACATAACCGGCTCTTGCAGTGGCGTTTTGTAAATGCTAGAGCTAATGCCGCCCTAGCTGCACAGAGGTCCAATGCAGAGGTATAGCTTCTGGACTTTATCCTTAATGTCTGGCTTATTTGTTTGGTTCCAATATTGAATAAGATTTGTTTTGTTAACTATTTTCTTGTTTATGGGACCTTTGTTTTATAGGGGAATCTTTGACTGCTTTTGGGTTTCTTTTTCTTAATTGATCAACTTTACATCCCTTGGTTGTAGAATTTACATCATAAATTTAAGTTGTGATTAGGTTTCTAGTTTCTTAATATTATGCTATAGCCTCCCCTTCAGTTTTGTTCATACGATACTTTTATTTTCCCCACAAATGTTCCAAGTTGGATATTCATGTGTAAATTCAAACGAGATTTGTGTTTGCAGTCAAAGTTGAGGTAATCTAAGGTACTCTGTTTTGTGGGTTCTGATCAAAAACATGCTTGGGGAGGATGAATGACGGAAAACAGGGGTTCTAAGTTGTAAGTTGCGAGAAAGGGAAAAATGGGTTATTTCAAGTCATTTGATGGGAGTTGTTATGTGATGCGTATTTGTTTATTATAGATGAGAACCTTCAGGGTGGCTAGCTTGATAGCTTGTTGGCACAAAAGCTTGATGATTGAAGTTTGACATGCAGGACAAAAAGTCTCTCTTGAATTATTATTGGCATATGATATCAATAGGCTTTATTTGGGACTCTTGGAAACACATACTAGATTAATTATTTTCCTGTTTTGACTATCAAAACAGAATTCGTTGTTGTGCAGGAATATTATTCTGTAATTTTTTATTTTTTTTCGAACTTGGGATGAAAAGTGAATTGTAGATGGATGTGGATAGTTACCACTTATTAAAACTTCTTGGGTTAAAAAAGGATTCTAAAGTATTACAAATAAATATTGAATTAGTGAAGGATGCATGAATTCAGGTTTAACTGCTACTCTTTGCTTTGTTATACGTGTCAATGTAACCCATTTTGACCACTTAATTCTTAACCCTAACTTTAGTTGTCTCGAATTCCTTCCATCAGAGAAGCCTCTATAATGCATGGGTAACTAGTTCAAGACTTCGTGAATCTGTAAGACAAAAACGGATCGAGTTACATCTGCTGAGGCAACATTTGAAGCTAACTTCCATCCTAAAGGGACAAGTAAGACCTCTGACTACATTCTGCCTTTATTTCTTATCAATCTTTGGCCTGGTTATTCATGATTGTCAGTTCATTGCATGTGAGTTCTGCTCCTAAAGGTCATTTGTTGCTCATTTTTCACTTACACACGCATGCACAGATATAGCTTACACTGAAATCTGAAAATTACTTATTGTTTAGAGGAAAGAATTATGTCTTCATGGTCATTTGGTACTCAATGCATGCATTGCTTTTGCAGAAAGAGATTTTGGTGTTGTATTTTAATGAGCGTTGAGTTTAATCCTTTATTGCTTGATGAGTGCAGATGACATATCTGGAAGAGTTGTCACTTATGGATCAGGATTACTCTGATTCTTTGTCAGGGGCCATCGAAGCTTTGAAAGCTAGCACACTTCGCCTTCCAGTTGTTGGTGTAGCAAGGGTATGCACCTCTCCTATACTTCTTCTTTAGCTAGTTCCTTATATGCAGTGACAGCTCATTGCCTAACAATTTATCATTTGTTGACTCTTCATTGCTACAGGCTGATGTCTACAACGTGAAGGATGCTATTTCTTCAGCAGTTGATGTGATGCAAGCAATGGCATCATCAATATGCTTATTGTTATCGAAGGTGCCTTTTTTTTTAATTTTTGATCATTGGAATCCTTGCCTTCTGTTTTTGTTTTTGCATCTATAACAAGCACTTTTATTCATTGTTCATGCCTTCTAAAAGTCTGGGCACCTAAAGTCCTATCCGGGAAGGCAAATATAGGTTATGTTGTAATACATGTGAGTTCTAGAGTGTGATGGTTGACTTACTATGTAGATACAAACGATGTAGTTTAATTTAGAATTTCTGCTGCATGTGATGCCTTTTTGAGTAGAATATGAACGACATGTGACAATATCAAATCTAGTGGGTATAACAAAGGGGTTCCATAGGTTTTCACTTACAATACCAGTGGTGGGCAGATCTTATAAACATGGGGTGATTTCTGTGATGTTTTACTCGTAATGCATTTAGACCTACCTCCCTTAAAATGCGTGAACGACCAGTAATTATGTCCAATGATAATGCAGTTGGCCCTAGCTGACAAACTATTGAACTTCCTGTTTGACGTTTTGTTTTTCCATTGGTCTGAAACCACGTGTAATTGATAGGTTGGGGATGTGAACTTTTTGGTGGCTGAACTTGCAAATGTAACTGCGAAGGAGCATGCTTTGCTTGGTCAGTGCAGAGACCTATTGTCAACAGTTGTAGCCATGCAGGTAAATTTCGTATTTGGTTTCTGTTTTAATATCAAAATCACCTAATGGATAGTAATTAGGTAATTTACGCGAATATCTTCCCAGTTTGTTACCATGAGATAAACCCAACCCTTGCACAAGTTAAGCCTGAACAAATTCTTCTGCATAATCTGTACTGTTGATTTTGTGAAAAGGCAAAATGATAGATGTGACAGTAATGTTTGACATTACCGGTGCTGGTAGATATGTATGGTTTATAATTTTGCACATTGGCATTGTCCTTTCAGATTCCTCCTGTCCTCATTTCTATCCACTTGAGATAAATTATCACATAGAAGAATATAATGCAGATTGTCAGCATTATTCCTTGTGCTTCTACGACCTCGAAATCTTACTTCCGTTCCCAAGCCAATCATGAAACCTAATTCATTATTGAAACTCCAACCCCAGTTTACTGGCTAGAAATACTATGACTCTGAAATTTCACGTAATTTTGGGATGCAGAAGTGTAATTAACCATTAAAGTGTAGAATTTGAGTGGTGCAGATTTCTATTCTCCAATAGGTTTTAACACTCTTGTCCTCTCTTTCTCATAGTTAAATCTTATCCGCGAAAGTTTCTTTTTTTAATTATCAGGTGGAGGAATGTAGCCTCAGGACACATATTTTACAACGGAAACGCGTACCTGACAGCCTCACAACGGAAGTGTAAAGCTAAATCGTATTATGACTGCCTAAACAGCTAACATCGACCTCAGATTCTTTTTCCTTTTGCACAGATTTGACCTTCGAATCCGTGAAGCCGAAGCAAAAACAAGAGAAAGTAGATTAAATGGGTGGCTTATGAAATCAGGAAAGTGCTTAAATTATGCCGGTTGCTATGTTTAAGGCCCTACGCGGAATTGAGATGCTTACGTGCATATATAGCAGGAAATTTGTCTTGTCAATACCAAATTAATTTGTGTACACACCTTTGCTTTATCCATAAGTCAAGAGGAAAATATGTGTAAATATGTGCAGTGATGCTTTTAATTTTTGTTTAATTTAATGGCTTTTGCAAGTTTATATGGCTATTAGCTGGTGGCGTTGATAGAAACTACAATTGCTTGTAATTGCTATCTACCCAGATTACTATGGGCCTCCTACTATTTGAAGGAAGCTGTGAGTTCCTATCTACGGTATAAAAACTTTCAAGAGCGGGAATTTGTTTTGCGTGATCAGATACAATGGCATCAATCAGGTGTAACTGATCACGCAAAATATGGCCCCGCCTCCCGAGGTCTGGGAAGTAGACAACACCTCCATCTCAGTTATTCAAACGTCTACAATTTTGACATGAATTACAATGCTTGCCATTGTATAGTTTTTGAAATAAATTGCCAGATTCCGACGATTTGAGGGGCGTGGAGTTTATACATTTCACCAAACCCTTGAGTTTTAGAAATTCAGACGATTTTGACAAATAATAATAATAATAATAATAATAATAATAATAATAATCATCTTGCCGATTCCGGCGTTGTAGAAATTCAGATTTAAATTAAGAGATATAAAAATATGATTCATGCAAATAAACAATCAATGCAGGCAGGACTTTGAGTTTTGAAGGATATTCATACATTGTTGTTAGTTGCTTTTGTTGCCTATATGAGTGGAAGGATAATTATTTACTTAGGAGGAAAATATAGTTCTTCTATTAGGCTGGAAGTTTAGGTTATATACACTTGATTTGGGGGGAATTTTTTTATGAAATTGGGTTTAAATTACTGATTTGGGTAGCCACTTAGTACTAGGTCTAGTTGTATTCTTCTTCACTTGTAAGTGAGAGCTTTTCATTCTCGTCAAAGATAAATTTGAACCATATTATTACTAGTCCATTGTGAGGAATATTACCAGATTCGAACATAAAACCTTACTTCTAAACAAAAATAAATATCATTAGATCATAGCAACGAGTGACTTATGTACGATATTTTAAGCAAGTGAGTATCAATAGCCAACGTGAAATTCTAGACCTCTATATATCAACTATACTTAAAAATAAAACAATGAGAGAAGTGTAGGCAGGGGACCCACAGCATCTTGTGAGACGCGGCGAAGCGAATGGATTAGAGGCAAAGTCTCTGTGGCTTTTGGAACGAACAGTCTTACGTTTGTGTCCTTTTCCTAGGTTTAAAATAAAGGGAGTGACGCCGTGGAAACCACTTACAACGGAGGAGTGTTTCGGTGGAGAAATTTTTAGTTGTGACGAATGTACGGATGATATATCACGTGTTTTTATGCAAATGATGAAAAATTTTAATTTTTAAGTTATTAACCTTTTAACACACATAACCCACCATTTATATAGAGACACGTAGTGTACCATTTCGTGCGACGATCACACTGAAAAATCTCTTGGATGGAGGCTAACGTGCACCGCACCATTTCTAGCTTTCTATAATCCATCCATTGATTTGATTCTCCTTTCGGTTGCAGCCCTCCCCATATTGATATATGCTTGGATTAAAATTCCATTTATATATGCCTGCTTCGCCATGCTCACACACAATACCTCCACCCTCTTCCCTACGCAACAAATTTGATGACATGTCTAGTGTCTAGTGTTAATAACCCTAAGCCGAAACAAATTTATAAATGTTGTTGTACAGTTGACACAAGACGCTGCAATAATGATGTATTTTTCTCGTGTAAACCTTATCCTTCACATGGGCTGAATCTCTCTTGTCATCAATTCATCACGCAAGTGGTTTGTAACTCGTCTGTTTAAGAGTATTCACCTTACACTCGATGTCACATGTTCGAATCTTCTTCTTTGTAATTTAATGTAGGAAATAAGCTTTTATTGGACAATATTGCTATTAGGATGGTGCACTGGTTGCAATAAAAAATAAAATCCCCTTCAGCTCATCACTACTACAAAAGGGGATATTATTGTTGGATTAAAAACGACATGAAACACCACTTACTGAGATGAGAATGGTTCAATGACGTTGAAGTATATACATATGAATGGTTGGCTTAGCAATATATTCTCTCTACTCAGTTATAGAGATTTAGAATTTGACTCACAAATGCGAAGTTTATATATATATATATATATATATATATATATATATATATATATATATTTATATTTATAGCAAGTTCAACATCAAGTTATGACTCATTGACATATTAAATATGCGTTAACAACTTATTATAAAAAGGGGATTATGACTCATTCTCCTCTTTTGTTAGTTTTAGCGTCTTTCATCTCAACACTTAATTAAAGTACGTTGTAACCCATGAATTGGCCAAGTTGACTTTATATTTAAACTTGATCATTTATTTTGTTTTGAAAAACCTCCAAATCACATACGAACTGTTATTTTAAAACGATTGTATTGTTTAAAAGAATTGTTTTTGAAACTCTAAAAAATTAATTACGAACTCGAAAAATTTTCATATTTAGAAAAAAAATATGAAGAGACCACAATTGAATTTTTGAAGTGCCATAATACTAGTTCACTTGTCTAATAATTAACAGTACTATCGTTTCGCTTAAAAAAAAACCAGCTTATTATAAAATGTGCATTTTTACTCACCGTCCTAAAACAAAACAAAAAACCAAGTTGATGCATGCCAAGAAAAAAGAGAACCAGGTAGATGCATATCAATTATTATGATGAATGTAAGACTTTTTATTAATCCTGCTGATGGGGACAGGTGGGCAGTTGAATGCTTTAATTATAAACAGGCACCAGATTAGGCAAATCGTAGGGCCTTTTGCATCCCCAAATCTGTGTGTTATCTCGAACAAGATGCTAATAGTAATTAGAAATGAATGATCACTAATTAACTGGATTTAGTAAAACTCACAAGTCGGAAGCACATTTGACATCAATTAAATTATATGCATGCATACAAATTAATAAATTTAAATCATATGTTGTCATTCCTTACGTAAGGCATTTTGTCCATTATTTTTCTTTGTTTCATATGTACTTGTTGCTGCAACATGTTCAAGAACATCGATACGCCACTTATATGTTTTATAATAATCAGCTAAATATACAATGTCATATGAAAAATTAAAAGTATGTTTCAATTAGTCATTTACGATATAAAACGGAGTACATATAAGTCTTTCTCTATAATTAGCATATTAATTATTAGGGGTTGTGTAATTCTCGCATGCCCTAAAAGGAGAAGATATACGGCCAGGCCTAAGGATATCAGAAAACATAAATTAATAAGAAGCGTGAAAAAAAAAAAAGTATGTGGATAACATACTCAAAAAATATAAGACAAATAATTGAAAAAACTGAAAATTAAATTAGAAAAATAAGAAGAAATAACTTCACCGGAATATTCAACGCAAAACTGATAGGCTCCGATTATCATATTTCCTCTCAGAGTACATTATTCACCGATCACTTCTAATTACCACTAATTCTTCATTAGTTAAACAAAATCTCTCTCACTCTCTCTCTCACATAGATTTTCTTACACGAAAAGGTTCAGAAGCTTGCAATCCTTCAGATCGCCGCCGCTTTCAAGGCACCTCGTCGTTGTCGTAGTCATCACCGACTCCTCCGAATCAAACGATACCGTATCTCTCAGCCGCTGATCCATCGCCGCACTTATGTAGCTCCTCATTCCCCTCCCTCTTCCTCTCTCTCCCGCCGCGAGATTCGGCTTCAGAGAGAGCCCCGCCGGCTCGAACGGCTGGCTTCGCTCCTCACCATAGTACGCCGACGCTGACGGTACGGATTGATAGTAGCGGTTTTGTTTTGTGCATGTGCCTCTGCTGAACGTGTCCGAAGACTCGTCGAGGCTCGGCGTAGTAAACGCCGGTAACGGCCTCAAAACGCCTCCGGAGAGTACCGTCTCGACCGCCGACTGGCACACTTGCCAGTTCCCGCTCGACAGAAGCCCCACCGCTCCGTTCACCGGGTTCACCGAGCGGCCACACGCTTCGAAAAGCAGAGACTGAAACAGAGCTGATCGAGAAAAAGGAAGAATAAGGATTAATTCATGTTGAAATTAATCGTGTAAAATTATTAAAATATTGTTTAATTTATTGATTATTTTTATTTTTGTTTACCGGGGCGTTGGGTTTCCGGTACGGCGGAGACGAAAGAGAGGAGGTCGCTGCGGCCGAAGAACTTGGCGAGGAACAGGGTGGCGTTGGCTTGGGCTTGGGGAGAGTCGATCCAGTGCAGGCACGGCCTGAGTATGCATGTCTCGCTGCATCCCTTCCGGAGTACTCGGCACCCGTTGCAGCTCATCTCCACTGTCCGATAAGCCTCCCCTCCAAAATTTTGATTAAATCAAAGGTTAGTGATCAAATCCTTCTCTCTCTCTCTCTCTCTCTCTCTCTCTCTCTCTCTCTCTCTTCTCAGTTCAAAGTTGTTGGGTTTGTTGAGGGGAGCAAGCGAGAGTGTGAGTCTGGAAGCTTGGTTTTGGTATTTAGAGAAGCAGAAACAAGACACTAGAGAGAGGAAACTCTGGTTGAGTTTACGACTTTAGAAAAGGTAATGCTAGGGAGACTCAATTTCGTAGATTAAATTTTGAAAATTAAAGAACATGGAAGTTGATGATTGATTTATGAAAAATGTTATTTATACCATATTCTTATACCAGATTAGCTGACATCTAATGTGAACAGCCACATCATTTGAAAAATTTGCAAAACTCAAGGAACTGAAGGAGTAAGACTTTTCGTATATCACAATTATCATTTAATTAACTAATTTTTCTTAATTATTAGTTTATTAAATAATGAACTAAATTTAAAAATCTGATTAATTCAAAATGATGTGGCTGTTCACATTAAATGTCATCTAAGATGATATGAAAATGTGGTATAAAGACATTGTTGAATAGCATTACTATTGGTTTATTGTTTAAGCATCAATAAACGTGCTCATTTTTATTGATGACAAATAATTTAGTTTGTAAATTTAACCTCTAAATTTAATCTTCATAACATTAATGTTTAAGAAATGTTTTCCGCATGCACTTTTATTAAGTTTTTATCCAATACTTGCTCCATATTTGAACACAATAAACAGAAAAAGAATGTGAAATAAAAAGTACTATCTGATTTTATTTTATTAGTTTGATATAAATTATTATCGTTTGTCCAGATTTAATTTATTTCTTACTTTTTAGTGTACATAATGTTTTAAACGGAGAAGTAGAATAGTCATTTAGTAATTTGAATGTGGTTTATGACGGTGGACTTGGGGCTGGGGGCCCACAAAGGTCTTGTCGGGGGAATATTTTCCAAACTCTGGGCGAGACAGAGCGGCTCCGTGTTTCCGCGACTACATGTAACGATCTGATCGTTGGATCCCGGCGTTTGAGAGGGCGTGAGCCGTTGGATTAGAGCATTACACTCGTTTTTTAATTCTTGTTGAAGTTGTTTGTGAAGTGTTGGGATGGGTGCCGAACTGCCGCCTCTTCGCAGCTTTGAAGGAAGAGAGGAAGAGAGAAAGAGAGAGAGAGAGAGAGACAAACTCCGAGTTCCAATGAGTGGACTGTCAATGACTCAGCCATCCCACTTACGTGACTAATCTAATCACACTCTCCTATATTTTACTCCCTCAATTTTTGCCTCGCGACTAATTTATTCATAAAAATAATTTAATTGGTAATTTACTTACAGAGGTATTTGTTGATTTTTTTTGTATTCCTAACTTGTACGGAGTTGATGGTTTCTTTTATGAACTTTAGTTTAGTCGGTTATTTTTTGAAATTTTTACAATCAGCTAATTTTTTCATTATGTGAAGATTTTGAAATTTTGAAATTTACTTTATTTTATCCATTTTGGTCACATTACATATGTTTGATGTAAAACTTCAATGCTATATGAAGGTCAGTTGACTCACCTAGAGAGATAGAAAAAGAGGTACGAAATTATTCTAAATGCTATTACAACCATCTTAAACAGTCACTAACTCAAATGTCGGAGCATTTTTGCAAGTCTTTCATTCCCTCATTGTTGGCAAGCAAAAATGATGTCTATAGTTTCTTGACGTGATTACAAGATTACTTATTTGAAGATTAGAAGACACGAAATTGTTTTTGCCCCAACAGGGAAGCACAAGTATGAAAGCATCAGTTAGCAGGAAATATGAAACATTTTTGCTCCCCACCTTGTTTATCACTGTTAAATGAGTTTGAATTTCGAGATTTGTGTAGTGGATATGCACAAATCTCAAAATTCAAACTCATCTAACGATGATAAATATAATGGTGAACATACACCACACTAAATGATGGTGAGCAAAAATGCATTATGAGAAATACACCTGTAGGGCCTCGCAGAAATTTGCTTGCAGAGTTTTAGCCGCAAAGATCTTGGTCCACCGGGACCATTTAATATCAATGGGCTGGGCTTAGAACGTTTTTGGTCAATCTCAATCGAATGGTTCAATCTAACTGTTGGGTCGGATTGGGCTAGACAATCATAATCCTGGTTTTTTCTTTCTTTAAATAATCATAATCCTAATATTATTAGGGATGTGCTATCCACACACCTCAAATTACTTCTCACACATCTCTTGTTAATTTTTGTCCGTTGATCTTCTTTAATTCATTCAATCCGACAGCCAAAAATTAAAAGGATGTATGAGAAGTAAAATGGAATATGTGAGTATCACACCGCTATTATCATTACTACCAGCTAATTGGCACACGCAGAGTGTAAAAATTCTCTGTGGCCTCACTGTGGAAAGCCATCTTGCCTATTTCTATTTAATCTACTTCCATACTCATTTTTAAGCTTGATGCGTGTGCCAATTTTTTTTTTTCACTCAATTCATTGGATTATGAGTATCCATTTATGCTTTAATTTATAAAATCAGTATTAAGCTTAAATAAATAAATAAACGACAATACCACTACTCCACCCCCGTCACTTATGCCAAACGCTATCCCAGTGAAACCCATCTAAGTGGTGGCCTCGTCCAACGCTCATCACACGCGCGCACCCCTCCACCTACCTAGCCCACCCTCTACCACCTAACCTCCACAATTCGATCCACCACCCACTCCTTCGAACCACTCATGATCTTGTTCCCACACACCCCGTCCTATGAGACCTGTGGAGCCAAAAATATTCACAAGGCGACACGTGGATTTTTGATAAAAGAAGACAAAACTACCCTTGGGGCATACCGGGATTCTCACGCGCAAGCAGCAGGCAATTATCCTTCAACCAAGTCAAAAGTGCCCAAAATAGGTATCAACTTAAAACCTAATTTATTCATATATTTCCTATTTCATTATTTAGCTAATCAATTAGCTAAATATTATACCTATTCCATAATTCCTAAAACATTCCTTCTAAAATAATGATAATTAGCTAATTATTCCCTTAATTAGCATTTAGACCATTAACTTTACCCTAACTCCCACAAAAAGGCCGGCCATCTTTCATCCTTCTACCTTTTTTCCTTTATATGATAAATAATTAGCCAAGTTAATTAGGGAGTTATTGGCTAATTATTTTGTAACTCCTAATTAAACCCAAAAAACTCTAGCCACCTCCTATCCCTATAAATATACTCCCATTCTCACCAAAAAGAGGAGAAAAAATTCCAACACTTTGGCAAAAATCTCAAAATTCTCTAAACAATCTTTCTCTCTAAATTCTAACTTTGGCATCGGAGGTTCTTCGGCCAAAGCCCCCCCATTCATCGTGGGCGCGTGAGGCTCTTGGCCTTAACCTAAGGTGTTAATTGTTTTGTAGGTGCAAAATCGTCCAAGATCGAGGAGGAGAAAATTTGCATCCACAAATTGGTGCTTTCATTGAGAGTTGAAATCCATACTCGTAGAAGACTATCGCACAAAAAGTTTTTTCTTTATTTTTTTAGTCCATTTGAATATTTTTCATACATTCTTATTATTAGAATTTTTTACTTGCAAAGGTTCTTTGATAAAACGTATAAGCAAAATATAATGGCTAGAAATTTAGAAAATTCCACAAGTGAAAATTCTAATGTTCAAGAAATGGGATTGTGGAGATCCGTGAGGCTAAATGCGACAATAAGTGGAGCAGCACCACCACCACGAGTTTCCACCATGGGAACCACCACGGTAGCTACCTCGGTAGCCACCCGTGTCGAGGTCCATAGTGCCTTCACCATAGCTCGAGCCGTGCCATCCAAGGCTCACGGCATCAAGGCCACGGCCCAAGTCGTGCCATCCAAGTTTGCACGGGCCCGGGCCCAAGCCTCGCATTCGCTTGCATCACATACTAACCAGCCTGCTCCCGCCAAGCAACCTGCTCTCGCGGCCCAGCCTGCTCCTGCCAAGCAGCCTGCTCTCGTGACCCAGCCTGCTCCCGACGAGCAGCCCACTCCCGTGGTCTAGCCTGCTCCTGCCAAGCAGCCTGCTCTCGTGACCCAGCCTGCTCCTAACGAGCAGCCCACTCCCGTGGTCTAGCCTGCTTCCGTCGAGCAGCCCACTCCCGTGGCCCAGCCTGCTCCTGCCAAGCAGCCTGCTCCTGCCAAGCAGCTTGCTCTCGTGACCCAGCCTGCTCCTGACGAGCAGCCCACTTCCGTGATCCAGCCTGCTTCCGTCGAGTAGCCTACTCCTGTGGCCCAGCCTGCTCCCGTCAAGCCACCCACTCTCATGGCCCAACCTGCTCATGCCGAGCAGCCCACTCCCGTGGCCCAGCCAGCTCCAGTTAAGCAGCCCACTCTCACGGCCCAGCCTGTTCTCGTGGCTTTCCAAGCAGCCCAAGCCTCGCATTCGCTTGCATTACATACTAAGCAGCCTGCTCCCGCCAAGCAACCTGCTCTCGCGGCCCAGCCTGCTCCTGCCAAGCAGCCTACTCCCGTGGTCCAGCCTGCTCCTGCCAAGCAACCTGCTCTTGTGACCCAGCCTGCTCCTAACGAGCAGCCCACTCCCGTGGTCTAGCCTGCTTCTGTCGAGAAGCCCACTCCCGTGGCCCAGCCTGCTTTTGCCAAGCAGCCTGCTCTCATGACCCAGCCTGCTCCTGACGAGCAGCCCACTCCCGTGATCCAGCCTGCTTCCGTCGAGTAACCCACTCCCGTGGCCCAGCCTGCTCCCGTCAAGCCACCCACTCTCACGGCCCAACCTGCTCATGCCAAGCAGCACACTCCCGTGGCCTAGCCAGCTCCAGTCGAGCAGCTCACTCTCACGGCCCAGCCTGTTCTCGTGGCTTTCCAAGCAGCCCAAGTCGGCCCAAGACTATCTCAACTATCCGGACCTACCATCGAGCCGGGGGCATTCTCACCATATTTTTTCACGGATTTGGCATTTCCCAACTCAAATCTCGCGCCCGGAGTCTACCACCATTCCACTGCACAAGGAGGTGCATTCCTTCCAAGCTCTTCCAATCCAAATGGCGAACAACACTTGTCTCGACAAGTCATAGAGTTGATGAGCGTCCTTGCACAACAGACAACCTTGGTGAATCAACTTTTGCAACGCAT